ATAAACGAAGGAATGGAAGCTAAGCAGGTATTTGCATTCCCTATCAAATATTATTATAATAGACGCCAAAGTTTGTATACTTTCTCACAGATTTTCCATAAATGCATAAATGTCCATAATCTGTGCATAAATTATATTCCGAGATTATATCGCACACGTTTCTTTGCTCAAATCAAAATTTGACAAATTAATGTTCCATCTCCACCGAGTTTGTTAACTGAGAGAAACTTTATTTAAAACATTTAAACTTGAAAAGGATTGAATATCTGTCGCCTACCAAGTAGAATTTTCATCAGATTATCACGAACTTGCATTCTTTGTACCAATGAGACGTATGTGGATCGAACAATTACATTTTTTTTGAAAAATGGAGTTCGAACGGTTAAGGAATAGAGTGACCACGTGCAGGTAGATTTTCACTGGAAAATCTTGCGATTCTTAGGACGATTATCGTGTTTGCTTTAAAAGTGCAAGACTCTCGAAGCTTACGAATGAATGTAATTTAATTTTCCACTTTATACTATAAGGGAACTAATTTATGTGCCTCTCAGAAGCCTTTTGATCGACGAATCTGCGACAGAAAATTAATTAGCCGCGGTTAGAATACAGTTTGTCGTAAACAGAGTGGAATTTAAGATGTGTATTTTGGAAAGAAAATGAATTGCAATGGTTTGGAGAGGGATATGAATTTTGGAATTGGATCGTTGATATAAATGTGAGAACACCGAGAAAATTGTTCGAGTTTCGAAGCTTGATTTGCATTATAATACGATCCGTTGCTTCCAGAGACGCGTGTAAAACTGTGTGGCGATCGTCTGTGATTTTAAATTTTACACACGTGTACGACAAAGAAAAAGATCTCATCTGTTGGATGGAAATTCCGTAAAGATGGTCACGTGTAATTACAAATCGATTTATACTTTGCGGTTTCTAATAAGAATAAACAGGGAAACGGATCTTACAAGTAAAGAAATGGACGTGCACGTACGCGAGACGTGAATTAATTGGAATTTTTAAAAGAAAGATGGGGTTAAAAATGAACGAAGAGAAAAACAAGATAAATTACGCTTTTTAATACGGAGGATACGAATATTAGCAGGAAAAGGAAAACCTGGAACTTTCTACGTTATGAAAAATTTGTAGATACACTGAGGTTAAAGAAACTTTAAACCAAGAAATAAATTTTTAATTGGAAAATATTCAGCGACGTGAACAGATTATCTAATTCTTGACAAGTTGAATTGCTAATTTAATGTTGCGCAACGCGATCAAAATATCTTCGTTACTATCCTTGCACCAACATCGTTATACCATAAATATTAAATAAAATCGGCACAGCAACATAGCGACTATCATAATTAATGCGTGGTTTGCAGGAATTAACACTAGAACTAGCAAAATTCAAATTGACTGGTTTTACAATTTTATTTTGAAATTCCTATTTCATGTTATATTTTTTTCCACAATGATGTAATGACTTTCGTAACGATAACTAAAAGAATAATATAATGAATTTTATTTTGTTCTTTTATGTATTCAAACTGAAAATAATTCTGTATCGAGGCTACTTATACCAATACCAGTCAAAATGACTGGTACTTGTCAAAGTGTAAAAGGATGCTTCGATCTGTTTATCGAACCCCAATTAACCAGTTTCCTCGTTTTGCACAACTTCCCACGTGTTTTTCAAATTTTTACTGCGTATCATTCGATATGGTGATATCAGTGATCAGGAAAATTCCGGCTCGATCGTTAGATCGCTAGATGCTAACACTAGAAATACCACAGCGGTCAAAACGACTGGTTCTACAATTTTATAAATGTGTCGACCCTCGTTTGGGGATGATGGTCCCAGATGGATTAATAATATCAAAAATGTACTACACAACATGGAATTCCTTCTGTAAGAAAGTAATGAATCAATAAACATAAAAATATTCTATTATTACGTATTTTTGAAAGAGCAGTCATTTTGACCAGTTTCGATAGAAATAGCTTTGTATTAGTGTTAAAAACATGCGAAAGATATGACTTAGGAAAAGGAATTAGAAAAATGAAGAAACACCGTTCTCGTGACAATTAACTCTTTCGTGCGTATCTACATGAGCAGCTGGCTTTCAAAGTTTCCATACGGTTTTTCTACGTCTCACGCGAATTCCAACCACGTGCCGTTTCGTCGCGGTAAATTCAGCTTGTCCTGTGAGGGTGGCAGCCGTTGAATTAACGACGGTACAAATTTAACTCGGTCGCGTGCAACAAATAAACGAACGCCGCTGCAGGCTAAATAATTATTGCCGAGCAAAATGGCGTGCTGAGCGGCCAGCCAGCGTAGCGGCCATTTGTACGTGGCCAACTCATAAACGCGGCCCAACTCTGCTCTGCCACGGTCCTCTCTGTGTTGCACGAGACCCGTTTTCTACAGAAAACAGCTGCTTGAACCTTTCAGTGTCCCTACAATGGCAACAGAATATGCTACAGTTACGATTTCGTTTATCTGAAACTCACGAGATTTTTAAAACTCTTTGTCCGTGCGGTGCGCACGTTGTAATAGAAGACGAATTGCCAAACGAATTACACAGTTAACACGTTGTTGACTGGCAATTTTGCTGAGAATTTATCTCATGTCACCGGCTATTATTTCGTGATTGGATGTGGAAATAAAACAATATAAATGAACTTTAATAAATTTTATTTGTTATTCAATTTTTAATATTTTTTTGGCGAAAAAAAGCGCATCGCGAGTTTACTCGTGGCAACGTTTGGCCATGAAAACACGAGTTAACTCGTGACCGGTCGACAATGTGTTAAGATTCGTGTCGTTACAAGGATAATTACGAGTAATCAAGTATTTTGTATTTTATCTACCGTGTGAAAAGCGTGTGTTAACCGTTTGATTGCTAAACGTGTGTATACAGGGTGTCTGCGAAATCACGGTACAAGTCGGCTGATGATTCTACGCGTGGAAATAAATCGAAAGAAGAGAGCAACGTTTCTCTTCGTTTAAGGCTTCGTTTTCGAGAGAAACGAGTTTGGAAACCCAGCAGATAGTCGCGTACGTAAATAGAAATTATGAAACTTTTGTTTCTTTATTATTGTTACTGATTATTATTACTTTCTTTACTCTGTGTTTAATTTCAATGGTTTCATAGTGAAGGATAAGGCTAGTACCTTTTAAGAATCATTTTATTAATCAGGAAGCAAATAGCGACACTGTTGAAAATGACAACGTGAGTTCGCGCTCGTCATCCATATGCAGATGTGCTAGTTACAGTAAATAATAAGTAGAAGATAGTTCTAGATACAATCGATGGATTTAATCGATAGGTTTAAGGGTGTGCGTTGAATTAGAACGTTCTAAAACAGCGTCTTTTTGTGATTTCTTTTAGAAGGGAAAGAAAGGAATGAAGTTATTGAATTTCGAGATATGGTTTTATATGTATTTAACGAATATAAAAAAATTTTTTTTAAAGTAAAAAAGAAAATTATAACAGATTTCTAAGCCTATTTCATGGGCTGCAGGTTTCAATCTGCGTGAAAGATCCACCCCGTAATTCTTGACTGAAACGAGAAAAAAGGATTAAATTATTCTCGATGAACTAAAAAAGTTCGTCAAAAAGTTTATGTAAATAATTGTTATAGCACCTTAAAGTTTATTTCTTCTATTTAAAAAACATATTTTTTCTTTAAACCCGCTAAAATTTTTAATTTCACACTATTTCCTGCCCTTTTTTTTAATTCATCGAGAAGAAAAGTATATAATAATTTAATCCTTTTTTGGTTTTTCGTTTCAGTCAAGAATTACGAGGTGTATTTTTCACACCGATTGAAAACTGCAGCCTATGAAATAGGCTTAGACATCTGTTATAATTTTATTTTTTTATTTTACAAAAATTTTTTTTATATTCGTTAAATATATATATAACCATACCTCAAAATTCAATAACTTCATTTCTTTCTTTCCCTTCTAAAAAAAATCACAAAAAGACGCGGTTTTAGAACATTCTAATTCAGGACACCCCCTTAAGATATTCTTTTGCTTTTTATCCCTAATAAAGAAAAAAATAACGGCTACTGTGATCCTACTTCTAAATACAGAAATAACAACAGGTTATGGGCCCAGATTCAATAATTAGTTATTATTTTATTGAAAATATTATTAATAGCAATAATATTGAGGAGCGCAGACGATGACCTAAAAAATAAAAAAGAAAGAGCCCGATCGATGATTCAGTGTTGAATATCATAAAGGCGCTCTTTTTTTTTATTTCTAGTCCATGTAAGAATGTGCAACAAATGTTTCTCGGCTCGGAATGGTGTGATAAATTTATTCAAAGAATAGAATAATAGCTATTGCGACCCTACCTCTAAATACAGAAATAACAACAGACACTGTCTACGTTTAACAAAATACAGACACGAGCAGAAACAACAGTTTCATAATTCGAAACAACCAGACGACAGACGGCTACCCGATGAATGTTCAAACTCATTTTTCTTGAAAACGAAGCCTCGAGCGAAAAACACGTTGTTGCTCTTCTCCGCTTATTTTTCCATCTGGAATCATCAGTCGACAATTTGTACCATAATTTCGAAGACACCCTGTACATGTACTTTCACGTTCATTAATATATAGAAAATATTAATTTACATTAATATATAGGAAAGTATATATATATCCGTTTGGTAAATTTTACCCAGAAAAACACATTTACTGTCTTAGCAAATTGATAAAAATTAGGAAAAATTTCCCAGGTGAAGAATTCGTAGAATTAGGAGAAAAAGGCGAGTTAATAAGTTAGGAAGAAAAAAATTGGCTATGAATTAAGATAAATAAGTATTATATGGTCAGCAATTTTTATTTTGCTCTATTAAAAGCTCAATTAGTGTTCTATTAAAAGCTTATTATTGTCTGAGGATAAGCAAGAAAAAAATAGTCATGTACATTAAAAATCTACATGAAAAAACGTTTTTTCTAAATAGCGCAACATTTTTGTTTGCAGCACATCGCCAGTTTAATCGACAACGAGAGAGTTAATTCACGTCTGGTTCGATGAACTTCTGTCAATCGAACGCTGTCATCTGAATACTCGGAGTGCGAAGTCCTGGTTTTGCGGAATTTCACGGTGAATATCGAACGAACCATTCGTAATATTTGGATTATGTATAAAACTCGTGGACTGAACATTTGATTTTGATGACGCGAGAACGAAGTACTGCATAATTCAGTATTTTTAACGCATAGTAGCAAGTAAGGTAGAAATGTTCACTTTATACCACGTCTGATATTTTTCTATATTACCATTATTTCCTATGTTACTTTATGATTATTTTACAACTTGGTCTTTTTAAAACTATATTTTATTCCGGTTTCATCATCGTTTTACAGTTTCGTTTTTCTTTAGATCACCGCTTCATTCGTCTCTTCGATGTAGAAAATATCTCTCTATTCGAGATTGAAACTGTGTTAATTTTCAGATCTCGTTAGGATCTTTATTCTGATCGTAGAACGATTTCATTCTTTCAGTGGAATATTTGAAGCTGAAATACTTCGAAAGAAACTTTTACAATCTCGTTACATCTCTTCTGACTGTACTGTCTACGTTTTTTAACGTTGTTCGTATGCAGATTTCGTTGGATGAAAACGATAAACTTGTGGAACACGAATGAAAGAGAAATTCCTTTGGTTAGCCATTACTTGGTACGCGTAAACCACTCAAAAATCATACTGATCCACTCCATTTCGTGAAAATTTTATAATTTTAATATAAATCTACTGCTTTATTTCGCTCTTTTTCGACTTAATTATGCTTTTTCTAACATTCAAAAGAAATGTCCAGCAAATTCTTGTCGATACAGATGATTTTTCGCTGCAATTTTACGTGATACGTCTTGTTAAAATTCTAAAAATTTGTTTGGTCTGCTGAAATAATAGCAATAAATATGCAAATATAAATATAAAAATATGAATATAAAGACACAGAAGCTAAACGTTTATTTGTTAAAACTGATTTGATTTCTGCGTGACTAAATATATATGGCAATGTTTAAACGTAGCGTAATAAATGAATTTAACAATTTCGAAGAAGGCAAAGATTCGAATAAAATCGAATATACCTGCGGTGTATCATTGCTAGCTAGGAATCACGTTTTTAATTTAGCGCTTTTTAACAGATTCAATTTCATTATTCGCTCGAAACAACTTTGTTTACGGAGCCCTCCGTTCGATATTTTTCTTACCTTTATGAAACGAGGATTTTCAATTTTCCGCGAAGCGATACGATTTTGTATTTCATATTGCCGCAACTCGGGAAATAAACTATTAAATTTAACCTACATTTACGAGATTGGTACAGGTAAATCGTACTTTATCTCTTCGATACATTCTGTGATTGAAATTTTTCTAAAATTTCCTCCACCGTTTAAATTACAACCACGTCTGCGAATAAAAACAACTAGTAACGTGTTAAATAAATAGACGAAATAAATAACGGAAGCTCTAAATCGACCATACAATTAAAACATTTAAAATAGAGATATTACAAAATTCTATTTAAATTCCACTATCGAAAAGCTATATTTTTGAAAAAGTCTCCTCCTCCATTTACTCGAATTGTATCTCGCTCTGCGATACACATTACGTAAATTCTAATACAAAAATAAGAATTACACGTACGTTAACATTAACAATAATGAAAAATAATTATTATTAAAATAATATTAAAAAATTCTACTTATCTAAATTTTGCTAAAATTCCCCCCTCTTATTTAAATTCTAATTACTCGTATAATCGATATTATACAAATTATCTCATAAAAATATTACTAATAATATTAAAATAATAATAAAATAATAATAATAATAAAAAAAGATAGCGAGAAAGATAGTAAGACATGCGTTTAAAATATTAAAAAATTCTATTTGAAAGTTATTATAAATTCGTGTGAAGGTAGATCTTGCGGGGAACTTTGGCAATGTACGGTGTCTCTGTTTAAACTGAAAATTTCCAATTTTTCCAAGCAAACAAAGAGAAGCACAAAGAGTGCAGTGACGAACGAGGCCAGAGGCCTGTAAGCGCGCGAATCGAGAAGGAAGGGAGAAACGGAGCTGAGAGAACGAGAGAACAGAGGAACGTCTGTTCAGAGGCACGCGCTGCCATATCGTTGCGCAACAGCTTGACCGATCCATCGACTCGAAACACGCGTCGACGATTAACCGCGTTATCCCTATTTGCATGCGGCATTTATACGCCACGCTAATTAGAAGCTACGTATTGTCTATCTATTAATTTGCTCGTTTTTTCGGTTTCTTCCTATCGCCAGATCGTAAGATGTGTTTCGTACGACTTTGTTAGGAAAAGATGAATTCCACTGAGAAATGTTACAAACGTTAGATAAACTTGTTTCACAGTAGCTGTTAGTATTACGGAGCTGTTGCTTTGTGAGTGTTAAATAGTCTGTGGTTAAACATTCTTAAGTATAATTACACAAATTGAAGTAATTCAACGAAACTTTTTGCCATTTGTTCTCCTGAAACTGGTAAACGTTAGAACCTTTTCCTCGGTTTTACTTCGATCGCTTTTAAACTGTTTCAATCGTTCGATCGTTTGGTCGAGTGTGGTCTCAATCACGTAATACAGATATTCCGTGTACGATCTAAGTAATTGTCCAACTATTCCAAGAATAAAAATATCTTCGATTCTATGTTTTCAGTTGTCTGATAATCGTAAGTTGCATTTATAGTTTCTTCGTTGCACGTTAATTTAATCTTCGGAACGTGCTCGTGATACAAGTTCTAACGTATATGGATATTTCGAAAAATATTGAATTAATTAATTGAATGATTATTTCGATAATAAAAATCATTATTCATTACCTTTGAATTGCCTAAATTGAAGAAAACAGATTGAGATTCGTTTTAACGGTTATACGGAATAAAAACTGATTCGGAGCGTTTAAACTGGAACGCAGACGAAATACGGACGCGTGAAACATTACCTGGGAGTTACACCGGGTTATACAGGGTTAACTGGTAAAGTGGTTATAATGCGCCAGTGCGTCATACAGCGTCCTTGGTGCAGTGCACATGACGCACGGATGCATCGTGTGCGAAAACTTTTCCACGTTTGATTGTCACAAGTCTGCTCGTTTAAAATCCACACGTTTCCTGCGCTTCTTTCTTTTCTGCGTTTCGTTTGAATTATTTAAATCAATTAATTCAAGCTTGTTTGATCTCAGGTTTCTTTATATATTCGATTCGAACAATTTCTTACGAACGTTGACACAATAAATAAACGATAACGCGAAAACGTAATTAACATAACCGATTTAATCTTGAAAGAAATGACATTATTTTCGAAATATATTAAAAACATTCAAATTCATTTCGTGGTCATCGAAACATAGTTTCACCATTTACATATTCAGGTATTTAATAATAATTACGTATTCAATAGAAAGAAAACCAATGAAAAATTGTTACTCAGAAAAATAAGATACAAAGCTAACAGGAACCTGCTAAAGGCTTTCGATTTATTACGAAACAGCCAGAAGACCATTTTTTCCTTCCATTTCTTTTCTTTCACAAATTACCCAATATCAGATAGCAGAACCGATCTCAAACTTTTGACCTGTGCTGTGTCCTAGGCTAATAATAAAACTAAAAATCCTCCCACACTCATTTCCATCGAGCGTTCTACCTGACAGGCTTTGCACGTGATTTTTCCACGAAAATTTCCCTGTCACTGGGATTAGAGACGTGTTTTGTCCATGTTGGTGGACAAGCGCGTCGGTCAACGACGGTCGATTAAAAAATATCGAGAGGCGCGGAGAAAAAGAAAAGAGGATAGAGAAAGAGGGAAGAGGGAACGGAACGAGGTCGAAGTCGAACGGAAGACAAGATTGATTACTAAGCGGAACGTATGGAGGGTCGGGGACAAAGCAGAGACAAAACAGATCGAAACACCATCCACGCTTGGGGCGGGTTTCTATTTGAGCACCCTCGGCCACGCTCGAGTGCCTTACTAATTCGATTAAACGTCGCTCCCGACCTTCCGTACCTTCGACACGTGACAGTCTAATTAGCGTGCGATTATTTCTGTAATGCCAAACAGGCCACCCGTACGTTATTTGTGCCGTGAAATAATATTGGGGAAGGTATCGATGGTGTTTTTAGAAGATTTCCTATGGCGGAGCGGCAAATTACACGCTTGCAATGAGTTTCAGTTTGATTAACGCTAGAACTACCAGTCAAATTGACTGGTTTCACGATTTTATTTTAAAATTCCTACTTCGTGTTATACTTTTTTTATGTAATGAATTTTTTGTAACGATAACTAAAAGAATGATCTAATGAATTTTATTTTGTTTTTTATGTATTCAAACTGAAAATAATTTTGTATCAAGGCTACGGATACCAATGCCAGTCAAAATGTAAAAGGGTGCTGCAATCTGTTTATCGAACCCCAATTAACCAGTTTCCTCGTTTTGTATAACTTCGCGCACGTTTTTCAAATTTTTATCGTTCGATATGATGATATCATTTATCAAGAAAATTCTGGATCGATCGCTAGATCGCTAGATGCTAACGCTTAACGAAATACCACAGCGGTCAAAACGACTGGTTCTACAATTTTATAAATGTGTTTATAGTTTAAGGATCCTACAGTTTAAGGTCCTCGTTTAAGGATCATCGTGGAGTAATAATACCAAAACTGTACTGCATAACATGGAATTGCTTCTGTAAGAAAGTAATCAATCAATAAATATAAAAATATTCTATTATTACGTATTTTTTAAAGACCACTCATTTTGACTGGTTTTGGTAGAAATAGCTTTGTGTTAACTATCGGTAGTTCTAGTGGTAAATTTGCGTTTTAACTGACTTAGACGCGAGTACATGTCTTTTGGTCGACCCGATGAAATTGCAATGAAGCTGCTTTTTTAGATACGTTATGTGTGTATTAGATTGTCAGAAAAGTTTCTTTCGTTTTATAAGAAAATAATAGACGCACTATGTTTTTTCTTCTATATTAGTTTATCGAATTATGCACGAACGTAATAATAGAAATAGAATGAAATGGATCATACCTAATTCAATAAAATAATATAAAACGGAAATTGTTGT